TTTTTTTTAATGTTATACTATATTTTATTTTGTTAAAAGTCAAGTTAAGACTGATGTTTTTATATATCTACCTTTTTTTTTTAATGTTATACCGTATTTTATTTTGTTGAACTAATATTGTTTTACATCTTATGATTTTATTAATAATAAAGATGTTTAAACCACAGGTTAAAAGTCAAGTTAAGACTGATATTTTTAAATACCTACCTATTTGTTGTAATGTTATACTTTATACCTAATTATTTTGTTGAACTAAGACAGTTTTAATAAACGATTTTTATAATGCACATTTAGTGTAGCAAATCAAAGTTTTTTATTAACCAGAACCTAATTTTTCAGTTAATGATTGAATATTTGAATATCTAATAGTATTAGCTACCCCGTGTAAACGTCACTAATATAAAAGTAAATACATTTTTTGTTATTGCAGGATTTTTGAAACTTTTTTATGATTTTGTTGAGGAAAATTTGTTTTGGAGAATTTTGGAGATTTTTTTTTTATAATTTGGCGAATTTTGGAGATTTTTTCGATGATAACGTTTGGGGAATTTTCGAAACTTTTTTATGATTTTGTTGAGGAATTTTTAATTTTTGATCTGGCAACACTGGTCGTCGTCCAAGACACACATTGTCCGCTTGCCCACCGTTCCGCCATCTTCACTGGTCGCCGTCCAAGTCTCACTTGCACATCCACCGCTCCGAGGCCTGCTCCCAGTGGCAGCTTCTGCACCCGCCCACCACAGTGCGCCAAGTGGTGTTACCACGCACAAAAAGTTCGCGATCAGGCCGGTGTCGATTTCGAGTCGGCATGACTAACTTATCCCCCGCGGGGCACCGCTGGATTCACCGCCAGGTCAATCATCATTTTTGTGATAAGGTCCCCCGAATCGGTTTTTCGCTTATATCTCAGCTGGATCAGCTCGGAGAGCTTCGGGAGCAAAAATTTGCCCCCCATATCTCCCCGATTTCCCCAGGTCACCACTGACGAGACCCCGAAACCCCGAACCCTCTACCCCCCCCCCCAGAGGCTCTACCCCCCCATAGGGCCCTTTTAGTCAGGCAACCCGCCGAGGAACACGGTTACAAGCCGAACACCCCATGACGATCCCTTAGCCTGGACCCGAACAGGCCCTAGAGGCCTACGACAAGAGTCACCCCCCTCTAGGGGCCGTGGCCCGGAAACGCGCCAAACCCCAGGGCAATAAAAAACCCCCTTACAACTAGCATGTCTGAACACGGTAACGACGACTACATGAAGGAAGACGACGTCGAGGTTACCGACGTAGACAGCATGTCCCCCACCTCCCAGTACCTCGCCACGGGCGAGCTACCACCGTTGACAGGCAAGAGGAAGAACGATAGTAGCGCAAGCTAAAGCGCCGAACAGAGCCCTTGCGACATCGAGGCAGGACTGAAGTTCATTAGGTCGACCCTGAACTCTGCGGTCAACGTGACCAAGATGAAACCGAACAAGGTCGTCCCTGGGATCCACCGCCTGACGGCTCTACTGGCCGATATGTCTAAGGTCCTGGATGGACTGCTAACTAAGAAGGGCAAGCTCGTCTCCCCTAAGGCGTCCCCGTCCCTAAAAAAGGTCAAAGACAGTGAACCTGAGAAGCCCGTCATGATCGACGCCAGCACCGACACAATCCTGACCCCAAGCTGGTGGGACAACGATGAAGTGTTCGAGGCGGATCACACGAAGAAGAGGAGCGTGCGTAAGCCACAAGAGGCAGGTTGGCCTAAGCTCGGCCAAACCAAAGGGACTGAGGCAGAATCGGCAATGGACACGGACGAGGAAGCACCGTGGTCCAACGTCGTCAAGAGGAGTACGAGGAGGCGGAAGACCGTCACGGATCCCCGCCCACCCACCACCGCGGCACGCTCAAAGTCTCCCCCTACACAAAGACTGTAGGTCTACAGCAGACGAGAATAGAATCAATCCAGACATCAGTGACAAAAAGTGTAACCCAAGCGCCCAACTACTAAGGGCTCACACCACTGATAGAATTTATTACTGAGTTGGCAATGTCTAGCTTGATTCATTAACGAACATTAAAGACAAGTGGGTTGATAACTAAAAAGACCAATGACAGAAAAATGTTCAAATCCTCAAATATTAAACTTTTTAGTTGGTGGGATAGTAATAATTATAGTAAGTTTATTAAACCAAATTACTAATTTTTAATTTTTATAGTTTGTAATATTAATATTATTTTCTTCACATTTTAATTCTAATATCATATAAATTAAATTATTACAATAAAATGTATTACTAATTTATTACAGAACCAGAAGAAGATATAAATTTAGTTTTAAACCAAATTAGACATGACAATTGCAGTTTACCAGGATTAGAACGACAATGGAGTGCAACAGTTAGTTATAGATTAAATACAATTAAAAATGCCACGTCAACTCAAGAAATAATTATAGAATGGCCAAGCTATATGATACCAATGGAATATAAATTAGTATGTAAAAATATATTTAATATTGGATTACATTTATATTATATTATTGTACTTTACCAATAGTTAATAAATTTAAACATACAAATCATTACTATTATTATTATATGACATTAAAATGAATTATTGTAATAATATAAGTAACCTATTTAGTATATTTTGGTTAATAATTTTATTAATTAGGTATATTATTTCTTGATACATATATTTTAATATTTAGGTATTAAATAGACTCAATTATCAACTGATTTAACCTAATATCATTTAATAAAGTATAAATCATACACTAGGTATCTTTCATCTTTCCTGATTATTTTTAGATTGACATTGACTTTAAAGCACTATATCCAAATTGTTTTAATGTTCTTGGAAATTATGAATTAAAATTGGAAAAGATATTTGGTGCTCTGATGACTAAAATCAAGGATTACAATTCTCGGAACATGTTAAAAAGTCTTACAGATATTGAAAACCAAAGTGAAAGTAAATCATTAATTTATTATTACATACATTTTATAAATAAAATTATCTTCAATAACAAATTTTTTTCAGATGTTAAACAAGCTGTTTCATTTTAATTATTAGTTATTACACTCAATGTTTGTTCCTACATCAAAGAAAAAGTTACAATTGACGACAGAGGAAAAAAATATAGTAAAATTTTCAATAAAAGATTCACAAAATACCTTCATGGTATTTAGTAGCACAGTAACAATGGTCGAAGAGTATATAACTAATCGTAACCAACTTAAATTGCCGATTCAGCCCTTTATTATAATTGTTGGTAAACCACTAGAACCAAGAGAAATAATTGTTTATTTTGATTCAATTTAAAGTTTTTTCTGTCATAAGAGCAATAGATCTATGCTTTAAAATATTTCAACTATTTAATTTGGAATATCCAATTCAATCAGGTACAGTTTGGCATTTAATTCAAAAATACTTGTACTCAATTAAAACAAAATTTGATAAATCTTACCCTAATTTAAACCAAATAATTTATGACTTAGAAAATAATGTATAATGAACAAAATTATGTAGTACATTTAAACAAACTAGGTTTTTTTTACAATTGCTTTTACTATAATATTAAAAAGCCACTTACTAATTTGTCTAATTTAAGAGTGTAATATTTATAAATGAATATGCTACCTTTTCTTTATATTTATATCTATATTATCCATCTATATTTATCTGTACATAATACAACCTACTGTTATCTAATAATATATTTATACTTATAAGTACAAGTACAGTTGTACTTAATAATATTATATTGAATATAAGTAATACTTACTGACTCATGTACAATTCTAATTTATGCCTATATATTTGTATTTATATTAAGTTATATTACTTATAATACTTATATTGTTAAACTTTAAACTACAATAAATAATTAATTGGACTTTATTATCATGAAATGGATTTTTAATTCATGCAAATATATTTATGATTAAATTTAGTTTTATCCCCACAAATCCACAACAAACCATTAATATATAAATGGCATATTAAAAGGTAGTATTGTTGTTAACACAATATGTATTATCCAAACAATAATATTAAAATGTTGGTATCAATAAATCTATTTTATCAAATTGATAAAAAAAAATTGTATGGCAACAAATTATTTCATGATTCAAAAAGACAATTATTATTGAGTTAACAAAAATAATGATCCCACTGATAAAATATTCTATGGTGTGCTAATACTATTTTGTTGGAATGATCAAATATTAAGCTAGGCGCAACAAAAGTGTATTATCAATATCATAATATCGTCGGCTAATAGGCCAATTGATGTAACCCTCACTTTTTTCTAATTTCAGGTTATGATTAAAATGGATTATTATAGAGAAAATACACATTGTGGACAAATATTGTAACCCTCAGATGATTAATTCCCGTCTAAATTCAACTTAATTAAATTTTTTTTAGTGTAAGACACACTGTTAAAACAGTGTCAATTGATGTAAGCCACGACGTTAATATCAACGTCATGTTCAAATAATTTTTTCTTCAGCAAGCCAATTAGTGTAAGCCTACAGCATATCCCTATATAGTGTTTTAAGTGGTCTACAATCTTACAGGCCAAATAGTGTAAACCACTATAAAATTATACTTAAGTATTATTTTCTACTACGTTTTATTTAAATTAATACGGTAATTTATTGTTATATTATTTATATTATTATAACTATTACAATATAATGTTGTTATTCGTTGAAAACACTGATATAAATAAAAATAATAGAGTGTATCATAACAATTCAACTGATAAGAAACCTAATCAGTCATCGTAGAACATTTTATTTTAAACAATAAACTTTATTTTTATGCTTAAATGAATTATGTTAAAGAACTTAGAAGATAATAACAGTATAAGACACACTAGTAAACTAGTTATAAGACACACTAGTAAACTAGTTATAGTTTTAATGCAGGTTTTTTGTAGTTAATTGTGTACAGCGTTTCAATATCATTATGAATACCAAAACTTCATTGAATAGTGCTAGTAAGATGATAAATCTTGTTTTGCCAAATAATTACAACAGAGACAGAATACAAACAAACGATCAGCAAAATGTAAGTAATCAATTAAAATCAATTAATAAAATGAAAAATGTTCAAAAATGGGTAAACTCTATTCCATTGAAAATAAATGAAGATACAGAAGTTGTCTTTTCTAATCAAGATGAAGTAGATGAACAAATAACTCAAGACTCTATGACTTGTGTTCAAGATTGTATAGTTATTAACATACCAACAGCAATTAATAATAATGAACTGAGCACTAATAATAAAAATACAAACTGCCTAGAAAACTGTAGTATTATTAATAATGATGTTACATTTGAAGTGAACATGTGTACAAATGATTATAATATAAATAATATTATAATTAATGAAGCTAATAGCATAAACAATAGTTGTCATACCATGGAGGTTGAGGTACTTGAAGATGCAAATAATTATGATAATACACAGATTGGTGTAAGTGCCTACAAGAAATTGTCTAGAGGTAATAAACGCAAGATAAATGCAACACTCAGAATAGAAGGAAAATCATATAAGACTAGAAAAGGGACTGTAATTAAAGAAAAATCTGTCCAACCAAACCCGTGCTACTCAAAAAAGTGTCAAAATAGTTGTGGTATTATAACTGAAGAATTAAGACAAAATGTTTTCGAAGCATTCTATGAACTAGATGGTCAGCAGAGAAAAGATTTTCTTATAGCATCAATACAGACTGAGCCAGTAAAAAGAAGATACTCAAGTTCTACTGATATTAAAAAAACCTGTTCAAATTCTTATTTTCTACCAATTGATGGTGTAATGACAAAAGTTTGTCAACAATTTCTTTTGA